CAAATCAATCCTTCCACACCCCAAACCAAACTAAATTAATGCAGATGATCAAAACAATTAGAATCGATATCAACAGGATCAAGTGAGGATAATACCCTGCAACATTCACAGGGAAATACTCTATCCCAGATTCCTCCCAGCCCAGAGAACAGGATACAATCTCTGTAAAAGGTTAAAGGTACAAAGTCACAATATATTCATATGCAACAAAGACCAAAAAGAAATTCCATCATGGTGATATCAGTTGAAAAAAACAACTAATCATGCTGATGGTGTTTAGTCCTTTTTAGCCTAAATAGAAGAGAGAGAGAAGGGTCAAATCATCGGCATGCATTAAGCAGAGATAAGATCTAAAGAGATTGCAGAAACTACTAAAATTGGGTTAAGAACTGTCCAACGCATTATTAAAACCTGAAGGGATAGTGGGGACCCATCATCTTCAAGGAAGAAATGTGGCCGGAAAAAAATCCTGAATGATCGTAATCGGCGATCACTTAAACGTGTGGTGAGATCAAATCGAAGAAAAACAACATGGAACTCAGGGCTATGCTTAATACTGAAAGTAAGAGCATTTCCACACGCACAATGCGAAGGGAACTCAAGGGATTGGGACTGAACAGCTGTGTAGCCGTAAGAAAACCACTAACCAGTGAGGCTAACTGGAAAAAAAGGCTTCAATTTGCTAGGGAGCATAAAGATTGGACTGTGGAGCAATGGAAGAAGGTCATGTGGTCTGATGAGTCCAGATTTAGCCTGTTCCAGAGTGATGGGCCACTCAGGGTAAGAAGAGAGGCAGGTGAAGGGATGCACCCACCATGCCTAGTGCCTACTGTACAAGCCTGTGGGGGCAGTGTTATGATCTGGGGTTGCTGCAGTTGGTCAGGTCTAGGTTCAGCAACAGTATATGCTCAAAGAATGAGGTCAACTGACTACCTGAATATACTGAGTGACCAGGTTATTCCATCAACTGACTTTTTCTTCCCTGATGGCACAGGCTTATTCCAAGATGACAATGCCAGGATTCATCGGGCTCAAATTGTGAAAGACTGGTTCAGTGAGCATGACACATCATTTTCACACATGGATTGGCCACCACAGAGTCCAGACCTCAACCCCATTGAGAATCTTTGGGATGTGCTAGAGAGGGCTTTGTGCAACGGACAGACTCTACCATCATCAATGCAAGATCTTGGGGAAAAATTAATGCAACACTAGATGGAAATAAATCTTTTGACATCCTAGAAGCTTATCAAAACAATGCCACAGCGAATGCCATAATCAAAGCTAAAGGCGGTCCAAAAAAGTATTAGAGTGAGTGACCAAACTGAATTCTGATCCCTGTTCCAGTTTTACTCCTCTTTGAATCAAATGTTTTCTTGCTTGCTAACTCGATTAGCCTCAGTTAGTTACTTCCTTGTTTACCTCCTGCACACACGCGCAGCATCGTACCTCCGTTGTTAATGTAGATATACATGAGGGCTTTATTTTCTTACAAACTGAGCAAAAACAAGGCCTGAAAGACAAAAAGAAAAATTTGCAAGAAGGGCATAGTAATATTTCAGAAAAACTTTCTATGAAACCATAGTGAACTACTGGTGGTAAATCCCTTGTGGGTCCATCAGTTGTGCAGTAACAGAGTCTTGTTGTTCCAGACAGTAAACTGGATCCTACCTTCTCTGGATGTATGATGCAGGTCAGGCTTAAAGGTGATGCCCACAGGAAGAACGACGACCCGTCAGTTCAAAGTATTTTACTCTACCTTATAAACTGAGATAACCAGCATTTTTTTTTTCTCATAAAAAGTTCTGCATTTAAATGTTACTGCTTCAAGTCAAACCAGAATAGCTTCTTGCACTATGAGTCGTATGAACTAAACTGACTCCTGCTTGCTGGTGAATTTTAATCGGGATCAAATATTTCAGTTGTTCCTGCCATCACCAGGTTTAATTATGATTGATTAGAGTGAAACCAGACTTTAAGAATAAAAATAAATCCTTCTGGACAGGACGATCCGGCACAGAGGTTTCATTGAAAAAAAAAGTTCTGGATATTTTCTAGTAAGAACAGAAGAAAAATGTTCAGACCTCATAAAAACTGATTTCTATGTCCTTTAAAGACAGGAATGCCAGGATGAGACATATTTTTCTTATGGTTTTGGTTAGAAAGCTGCGCTCAGCAGACAACTCCTGACCCAACAACAGGCCACAAAACCACCATGAAACCTAGCTTAACCTCTAAAGTGAGCTCAGGGAGGGCACGAATTCCCAAACTCCCAGACACACACAAGGCATAAAAAAAAAGAGAAAAACTGAGGAGAAGGAGGAGGAGGGGGAAACAAATTAAATCCAGTTAAATTGTTTTTCCATAGCCAGTGGGCTTGGCACAGGCCTCTCACATAGACATGCAGGAGATGTAAGATAAAGTTGTAGAAACCCAGAAACAGCGCAGCCTATGATGCAAGGAACCCTGGACTTAAACCACCTTTCTTTGCTTTTTATTGACCAAAACCTTCAACTAAAAACACCGACTTCTCTCCACACTCTCTGATTGATCGTATCCCTCTGAGATGTTTGCCAAATTGATAGTCCTGCTTCCCTGCATGGCAATTGAATCAAAGTGTGGTCACTGCAGAAGAAAAGCTGCAATTTGGGCCTAATTTGAAGCTGTGCTCAGGCAAACATATCTGGGTCATTTCCTTCTCTCAGACCGGGCTGCTCTTCACCTCGGCATGGAGACACCTCAGCTGAGCACCACACGGCCAGAAATAGCTTCCTGCAGTTAAAAAGAGCAAAGCTAATGTTAGGTCAGGACAGAGCAGCCAGGTGGGGATGCTCTGCAGAAATAAGGACACACTTTCCTGCTTTTGTATCACATAACACAAGTATTCCCATTACTTCACTTGTGCGTTTTGTGGGACATTTTATCTGTCAGCCCAGCTTTCATTTTTTGGCCAATGTTTCTATATGACTATCTAGAGCCTGAGATCTAAAGCATTACAGCATAAACTCAGTCAGGTTAGAACTAGATCAGGGGTGCCCAACCAGTCGATCGCAATCTACCAGTTGATCGCGGGCGGAGTTTCAGTCGATCGCAAGAAGTTTTACAATGTAGACCTATTTATGGCTATGACAAAAAAAAAAACGTTTAAAAAAACTAATCAAATCATTGATCACGAGAGGCCAACGTCTATTTTCATAATAATAAAATGAAAAGTAAAAAGTATGCAGAGAACCTTTTGTGTTGTAAACTGTTAGCTTTTACTCAAACAGCAGTTCCGTTCAGGTTTTTAGCTACACGGCTTTTTGCATTTTGAACAGCTTTCTTCTGGCCCCACTTTAACAAAGGCATTATTTACAAATTACATTATTCTCCTATTGTTATACCATAAGGAACGACATTGTCTTCCTTGATGACTAACATGTTGGAGTTGCTATTTAACATTGGTCTTTCCTGAAATGCTCAATATTGCTAAATTATAACCTTCTTGAAAATGATAGGTCTTTTTTGAACAGCAGTAATAAAAACATGCTTGAGAATAGGCATGTCTCATTGTATTACATTTTACCTACATCCTGTCGATCACAAATGCAGAAAATATCAGACCTCTTGCTACAACAGTTCCAGAGCTGTGGGGCTTTGAACTTTTAGTGTCACCAGCGTCTCCAAACCTGTCCGAATGTTCCTTTAATATGATTTCCCTTGTGTCCGCTCGTTGTTAGCTCCATTGTCCCAATAAACCGAAAAGCTAAAAAGGTCCCGATCTTAATTAGTCCTTTATGAACAATTACAGAAGTTTCAGAATCAATGATCTAAAATTGTATTGATGTTATTAATTACTTTAATACAATGTTATTCTACTAAATGTTTAATTTACCTCTTGGATTTATATTGTGAATTGGTTTGAACATTACATCTGCTCTATATTTGTGTTAAACCTGATTTCACCTATTTTTAAACTCTTCAAGATACTGGTTTTTAACCATTTTAAATTTCCTTTCCTTCTTTGTGAACATAGTAGCTTATTAGCCGAGTCTCATTAGTTTAGCATAAGGTTTGTAACTAAAATGTTTGACTTGGAAATAATTGATTAACTTAAGTTACAACAGTATTTAACTGCATAACTCCGTCATCAGCTACGGTCCTCAAGATCCATGCATCTCTGCAGCTCCTCCAGAGTTACCATTGGCCTTTTGGTTGCCTCTCTGCCATTTCCTGTGGACCTCCAAATCTCAGGAGATCCTACGCCTTTATATGTTCAGGTGATGGATGGAGGCAGAGCTTTGGGAGGTATTCAATGCTTAGGATACCCAGCTTTAACCTCTACATCTCTCTACCTGACATGTTTCCGGTCTTCATTAGTCTTTATGATGCCGTTTGTTCACTAATGTTCTCTAAGAAACCTTGGAGTCTAGAAACAAAACAGCTGTGTTTAAGGTGAGATTAAACTAAACACAGATGGACTATGTTTACTTACCAGGTGACTTCTAACAGCAATTCTAAATACGGGATGTTTTTAAGGGAAATCAAGGGAAAGAGGGCTGTGAACACAATATACTTAATGTTCTTTATTTGTGAACAGAATGTGGGAAAGCATCAAACCAGCTTCACAATAAGGCATTGTTTTGTGCTGCTCTGCCATCAACTAAAGTTCTTTGGTAGTTAGACCATAAAATGTTGAAAGGCTGCAAAGCGTTTTGCTTCCAAAGTGAAAAACAAAATCAGTAAAGAAACCTAAACACAAACGCTTTGAATGTTTATCCAATAATAAAATCTACCTTCAGCTCAACCAGAAGACAACAGGACAGCATTAGGATGGGAAGGCAGCATCAAACGCAGTGTTTTATTGATTCTACATCCTTTCTTCTCTGTAATATAGAGTGAATTTTGTTCCGATATTGTTGCATGCAAAGAATACTTTGTAAATTAAAATGTGAAAAAATAAAAAATCCAGAAATGAGACCTAGCAAAATGTTTTAAAAGAAAAGGAGAGTGCTGTTTTATCAGATTCTTTGTTTCTGAATTTATCTTTCATATTTCATTTTTTATTACATACATATATTTATGTTTTTTGCAAATTTCATATATATGTGTTTTGCAGATCACATCTGCCACTTCAAGCCCAATTCAAACTCTCACTAGCGATGCACACATTGACGAAGAAAAAGCTGTTGCTAACTCTCCATCCAGACCAATAGAAATGTATATTTTCTTTGCTTGCAACAATAACGGAATAAAATTCACTCCATATTTAAGGAGGCAACAAGAACAAATTAAAGAATTTTTCTTTTTTGTAGGTGCTACTAACTGATTTCCAAAAGAAGAGCCTAAAGTCTCTCTGGATGCCTCCTTTACGGTAAAATTCATTTGATCAAAACTTAAAATGATCTGCTCACACATTTTCACATGAACAATAATTAAGAAACACCTTCTGCTCTTCTGTTCGGTTAGGCTTTTCCTCCATTTTTCAGCTAATTAGCTCCCGAGGTGACGGCTGCATGTTGCTGGGCTCATTTAGTTACTTAGTCTGCAAAAAAAAACAAAAAAAACAAGATGTGTCCATGCATGCAGAAAGAAAACCAGGACATGGCCATCAGGATGAGGACGCTGTTATTAAAAGCATCTATTAGTGTCTCTATTGGTTACAGAGACATTCCAGTTTGATCCCAGAACAAACAATCTGGTGACAACGTTAAACAGGCCTTTGGAAGAACAAAGGTACCAGTGAGGAGGTGGTGGTCAGGTATAGTCAGTGTTGTGTCAGACAAGAGGATCCGGATATTAAACAGAGAGAAGAGAATCCAACAGAGACAGCTTGAGGAGGACAAACAGAAACAAGGACACTGGAGACAAAAAGGCTACTGGGCCTCATTCAGTCTGTCCTGTTTGATCGGAGCGTCTGCTAATAGCAGGAAGGAACCATGTTGGATGCTGGAGATCTCTGAACAGAGGCGTGTCGGTCCATGAATGGGTCTAAGAGTTCTTCCTGAGTTAACTCGGTTCACAATCCGGTCCACACTTTGTTCTCAATCTGGATCAGAAGAGAAGGAAACAGAACATAAAGATCATTACAGTCGTTATTTGAAATGATTCAGTTACTAATCTGGAGAAAGTCTAAGAAGATTTACATTGAAAAATGAACCAAACTCAAAACAATAAATGCACTCTGGATTAGAAAGTGTATAAACGAGAACCGCCAGGTTAGGAAAACCAAAAACTTCGATGTCCGCGAAAATAAGGAGGCCGGAAGAGTTTGGGTTTGGATTCAAACAGTGCCAGGCTTTCACCGCCACTCCCTAAGGCTGTTTCTCAATATGTGTACTTGTGCGTTCTCATGTGCTCTTGTACTTGAGAGTTTTTCCTCTCCACTGTCGTTACAAGCATACTTAGTGTGAGGGATCAGCTGGTTTTCCTTAGATAGAAAACTTTAAATCAATTTAACTGTATGATCTGGTGAACTGTTAAGTGCCTTGAGATGATGTGTTGTGAATTGGCGCTATAGAAGTAAACTGAATTGAATTGAATTCATGCTCAGTGGTTTTCCACCCTTCTTTGCAGGGTTGGCTTCATTTTGCCTTCAGTCCATTCAGTATTTCCTTTGCTTTCCTTAGATAGAAAACTTTAAATCAATCTGACTGTATGACCTGGTTGTATTGTGTCTCTAAAGTGCCTTGAGGTGATGTGTTGGGAATTGGCGCTATATAAATAAACTGAATTGAATTCTTCAGAAAAGGTAGAAAAAGTCCCACAAGGCATCGCAGCATAAACATGGCATTTCCATGTGACGATATTTAAGCAGTTGACAGTATATTAACTGTATAAATGTCTCTCAAACAAAGTCTATTGTTGGATGTAATGGAAATGATTTGAAAAAAATTCAATGCTAGAAAAAAAAACAATAGAAAGAAAGTTTAGCAGAAACAAGGTGTTTAGCAGACACCCTATTTCTCCCTGCCTTTAGTTTCCATTCAACATGTCCGTTCAGGTTTTATTAACTCAGTTCTAGATGCTCCCCCTTACAAAAAAGTGTTTTAGAAACGATTTACCTTTTAACCACTCTTATTTATTTCCATAAATCTTTTCTAAACGACAAGCAAATAAACGTTGAACTTAAACCCTTACTTAAATCCCAGACAGTGATTCCCATACAGCATGTGCAGCTTTATGTCTTTCTGCGTGCAGCAAGGTGTGAGACTAAATGTTCCAGCATCAGAGATCCACAGCAGAGCCTCACTGAGACATCAGTGACACTCAGGGGTTTAATTTGATGGGAAAGGAGGGGTTGATGTGAGGACAGGGTTGGGGGGGGGGGGGGGGGGGGGGGGGGGGGTGGTGGGGGCTCCAGGTGGACAGTCAGTAGCTACTGATGTAAACAGAAAGGAGGGCTGGGGTGAATGATGATCCCAGCTGGAAGCTAGAGGGGAGAAGATAAAGGAGGACTGCTAAGTATGACTCACTGAGAGGAAAAACCCTCACTGCTCATGTTTAAGTCATGCAAAGCAAACCTCAGGATAACCAGCTTCCTTTGTTTAACTCGTCTCTTCCCTGCATGTCCGCCTCTTCCACAGCAGGCCCACAGATCAGCATCCAAATCATCCACTTATTAAACATCTTCCCCTCCACGTAAGAAGCTGAGGCTTCCACATGTCAGAACGGATCGTTACTCAACATCTCCCGGTAAATGGAAGATCTGAGCAGCCTGAAACCAGAGCAGATTGTCCATCTCAAACGACCCGCTTCCCGGTGGCAAACAAATCCTATTTGCTAACTGGATGAACTGGAACGCGGCCTCGGCCTGGCGCTCAGCGAAACCAGCAAACAAACAAACAGATCCGTCTCTCGTGGCGGTTGCTAAGTTTCCCTGAAATGTCAACAACTGAAGAATCAGAGGACAGAGGCAGGAAGAGGAGATGTGGGAAGCGGGCAACTGTTAAGGCTGCAGAGCAATTAGCTGACGCAACAAATGGAAGGGAACTATTAAAGTTATATTTAAGAGAGTAATGGAACTAGGGCTGCTTCACTTATTCTTAAAGGTAATAATCCAGAGTCTGTTTGTTTCTGTGGGTTTGACCTAATTTTAAGTAAATAAAAGCAGACTAGGGTTGAAACGATTAATCCAGATGAAGAGTTTTTCTTAAGTAATCAGTAAGTAAGTAAAGGACTAATGGTACCCAGACTCTAAAACATACTTTTTGAAGTCATAAGGATGAAACACAACAAACATAAACAAAAAATATATACCAGTTTTCTATTAATCTCTTAAGGTTTGAGGTTTTGAGAATAACTCAGAATGCATGAAAATTCCACAGGTAAAATTTTTACCACTATAGACATGTTAGACATCATTGGAAAGCTTAGATTCTCCACAATTCAACCACTTAGTTCATTTTATGGACCCAGCGAGCACCAGAGCACAATTAACACAGATATAGTGATGATGTCAGTATTTTTCGCCTCCTCTCCCAATATCAACATATCTTTTGCAGCCTTTTTTGTTGGCCTGCGCTGTTATAATTGGTAACGGCAGCGTTTTTCGCTCCTACTCTCAACCTAAGGTCGTAGGGAAATGGCCGTTCCAACCGTTGCATTTCCAAATTCTCCCGAGTCATGCACGTCCATCCCCATGAACACTGGGACGTAACTCAATGGGAAAGGAAATTATTCTTATTTCGACCATTACGTATATTAGCTGTGACATATGAATCGAGATGTTATGACCGAAAAAACGTGATTGACAGATGACCGTTGATATATGATTGGCCGGATTTAGGTGTTTAGGCTGACGTATAACTAACTGGCCTGCAGAAGATAATGAAAAAAAAAAAGATTTTAAGACAGGTTTTTTTTTTTTTTAAGAAATTTTGTAAATTTTGGGACAATAAAGAGTACATTTATATACAGGGCTCGATGTTAACCATTGCCCGATCGCCTTGGGCAAGTAGTTTTTATTGTCGGGAGAGTACAAATTTCATTGCATTTTCCCGCCGGGCAAGTGCAAAAAAAAATTATTTATCACTCAAAATTACTTTAAAATCACCAACATTAGCTGAAAACGACCCACAAGCGTTGCCTGCGCCATTTTTGTGCTGGCAGCCTCTTTCGTTACTCTGCTATAATTGGTGACAGCTGCGTTCAGGCCCCCTCCTCCCATTTTAGCTAATTTTTTGTTTCTTAATTGGGCTGAGCCTTGTTGACCTTCAACATTGATGGCTCCCACAGCTGCATGGATTGTGGGGCTGCCCTGCAGACAGAGGATGGCAATGACCTTCGTCCTACCTGCCTTGGATGCGAGCACCTTTTGGAGGCGCTGTTTGAGAACTCCTGCCCCTCTCTAGGAGGAAGCGGGCCAAACTTGACCAGGGAATGTCCACAAGGGTGGAGCATTTGTTGGCGGAATTGACCGTGATAAAGACCTTGTTGCAGACACCTTAGTCTAATGCCTTGTTCAAGTGGCTGGGCTCTCTTCCCCACCCATGCCCGAACTGGTTGTAGAGGATGACGTCATATCTCTGGCTGCTTCTGCTTCTCATTTTAGAAATGAGGCGGAGGCAGGGTCCTTTCAAGCCTCTGACACTGGTTCATTTTCGTCTTAGTGTGCTGCTGGAGAGGCTGGTGACAGTTCCATGTGGGAGGTCATTGTCTATGGTCCTGAAGGAGCTGCAGCTGGAACTCCCACAAGGTGAGGTATCTGACTCCAGGAGAGCATTTTTCAGGTGCAGAACGAGCTCCTACTCCCTTTTCTGTACCTCCATCAGAGGGGTTTCTGAAGGAGCTGCACGCCTGTTGGCAGAACACGAGAGCATTGTCATGTCTCTCCTCAGATGGTCGGGTGTTAGCTGCCATGCATGAGTCGAGGAAGGCCGGCCTGGACTGTTTACCAACCCACTGTTGCTCCACTGATTGTGTCACTAGATGAAGCCCTGCTTCCAGATGTCCGATATCTGCGGACTCAATGTCGCGTTACAGATGACCTTCTGTGTAAGCTGTACAACGCAGGATCGTGTGGTGGCCACCCTGACAACTCCTTGGTGCACCTCATGTTCGCTCCCACTGTATCTGTTAAGGACGCTGGTGGTGCAACTGCGGCGGTTGGTTTTAGCGATGTAGCTCTGCAGGCTTTTGACCATAGAGCCTGGCCTGGTCATGTCTTTCCTTGACTAAGCTCATAGACAGGGCTGGCTTGAACAGTCGCTTCTTACCGAAGCATGCCGTAGGACCCTCAGGGGTGTCCCCGTTGTGCAGCGGGATCAGTCTGGATCAGCTGCCCTGGAGACGCTGGAGAGGACTGTTTAGGCGCGTCAGACTAGCCAGCAGCTTTCTGGCCTTTGCGGGAGCATACCTCCCTTTGCTCAGCGTTCCGGGCTCCCTGCTGAATCCCATAGTTTATTACCAGCTGGTGAATGGTCAGCATTCAATAAACCATTTATTATGTATTTTTTACATTACTATGTTTTTTTTTATTTAGCAAATTAAACCAAACATTTGGTTCTCACACCCAACAGCAGAGGCGATGTTGAACACAACAACAGTGTTGGCACAATGTGTTCATTTGGTGTTTTTTTATTATGCAGTGGTAAAGCAAACAATTAATGGAAAGTTCATATAAAGTTTAGGTCCAGTTTTAAACGGACTGAACAGCAGACCAAAGATGTCCTAAGATCGTTCAATAAACTCTGACATCCATAATGATTGACTTTCTTATCCGTACCATTCATCCTCACCCTGCTCCATCACGGCTCCCTGTCTGAGGACACGTCACCCTCCGCCCCGCTGCTGGCGCTGGGATCCGCTCTGGGTCGCAGGGATCCTTTCTCCCTTCCCGACTCTGAGGGTCCTTTAGAACGCGTCTTCTCCTTTCTTAGCTGCTGCTTCTCCAACTTTGAAAGCTGTTGAAACAGGAGAAACAGTTCATAAGTTCACATTTTATCCACTTCCATCTTTAAAACATTTAGAACTCACTTTACCTCTACAGCCATTTAACAAAACACAGCTGTAAATAAATCTGTGTCATCCTTTGAATGGAGCAGTATAAAAGTGGCTCTTTACTTTTCCTTTAAATAATTTAAAGTGTTTGCTCTGAAAGGGAAGAAGATATTAAGGTTTGATGGCAGTTTTACAGCCGGCAACATGGAAACAACTGTCTGCCTCGGAAGTAAAAACACTTCCTGTCCTCGTTAGGTGATAAAGGCTTCATGATTTTAAACTTATACCCCAGGATTGTGATACAAAAACAGAAAGATCAGGCAGAAACACAACAAGAAACATGACAATGGAGGGAGATCTCTGAAGAACATTGGTGACATCAAATACAAATCAGGAAATAATATAGAGAAAGATGCAGACAAGAATGAAAATGTTCGTCATTTAATTGGATTTCAGTCTCTTACAGAGAATAGTTTGCTGTTAATTAAAAACCTCTAGTTTTATGTATTGTCCAGGTGATAGTGGAGCAGATCTCTGCCATCATATCTGTTGCCACAGATTGTATGCACCAGACAGCTAGTATTTTAAATATACAATCACACTTTTTTTTTTTTTATCTTTAATTGGAATTTTCAAGTACCATTCTGTATTGCTCGACACTCCCATCCCCTATCAAAAAATTATGAAAGGACATTTTAGAATATAATGTGAAAATCCAGAAACGTTGATCAATGTAAACACAAATATGGGAATAGGCCAAACTTTAACACAAAAGGTTATAAAGAATATAAAGCAGGAAACAATGGATGGATGGATGGATGGATGGATGGATGGATGGATGGATGGATGGATGGATGGATGGATGGATGGATGGATGGATGGATGGATGGAT